TTGTCTATTTTGGCTTTTGTTGCCAAAATAGACAAATGGGACCTAATTAAACTCCAGAGCTTCTGTACAGCAAAAGAAACAATCATTAGAGTGAACCAGCAACCAACAGAATAGGAAAAAAAAATTGCAATCTACCCATCTGACAAAGGGCTAATATCCAAAATCTACAAAGAACTAAAACAGATTTACAAGAAAAAAATGAACCCATCCAAAAGTGGGCAAAGGATATGAACAGACACTTTTCAAAAGAAGACATATATGAGGCCAAAAAACATATGAAAAAATGCTCATCATCACTGATTATTAGAGAAATGAAAATCAAAACCACATTGAGATACCACCTCATGCCAGTTAGAATGGCGATCATTAAAAAATTTGGAGACAACAGATGCTGGAGAGGATATGGAGAAATAGGAACACTTTTACACTGTTGGTGGGAGTGTAAATTAGTTCAACCATTGTGGAAGACAGTGCGGTGATTCCTCAAGGACCTAGAAATAGAAATTCCATTTGACCCAGCAATCACATTACTGGGTATATACCCAAAGGATTATAAATCATTCTATTATAAAGACACATGCACACATATGTTCATAGTGGCACTGTTTACAATAGTAAAGATCTGGAATCACCCAAATGACCATCAACTATAGACTGGACAAGGAAAATGTGTCACATATACACCACAGAATACTATGCAACCATAAAAAAGGATGAGTTTGTGTCCTTTGTAGGGACATGGATGAATCTGGAAACCATAATCCTCAGCAAACTGACACAAGAACAGAAAATCAAACACCAAATGTTCTCACTCATAGGCGGTAATGAACAATGAGAACCCATGGACACAGGGAGGGGAGCATCACACACTGGGGTCTGTTGGGGGGTGCCAAGGGAGGGACAGTAGGGGGTAGGAAGGTCAGGGAGGGGTAACATGGGGAGAAACGCCAAATGTAGGTGACCGGGGGTTGGAGGCAGCAAACCACATTGCCATGTGTGTACCTATGCAACAGTCCTGCATGATCTGCACATGTACCCCAGAACCTAAACTACGATAAAAAAAAAAAAGAAAAAAACAATTAAATACCATAGCCTGAGTCACAAAAACTTGAGGAGAAGAGGGTGGGATCAAAGATAGTATCTGATTCTGAAAGTCATGCTCTTTCCCCAAGCCTGTACTGCTTTTAGTTTAGTGCCTTGCACACAGACAGTGCTTTATAAATGTCCATAGTAGGTGCTCTATAATTGTTTGCTAAATGAAACATCCTCCCGAGGTTTGGCATTATTCTCATGCAAAGTGGGTGTCTGTGGAAGGATGAATTCAGACCTCAACAAATACCATCCATGGTGCAGGCACATAATGTTTTGTTTACAAAGTTGACTGGATTTCGATTTGAGATTTATGGATTTTTAATAACACCTTTGTTTCTTCCACCTTAGAAGATCATGCAGATTCCTACAATGAAGAGAAGTAAGCTTCTCTCTTAGTGCTTCTCTCTTCTGAGTTTTCAAAGTTTTCCTTCTTATCTTTTTGGAGAGTAAGTACCCCACAACCCCATGCAGCTCTCAGATACAATGTGTCATATGACAAGCTCTTGAAGAAATTAGGAAAAAGTCAGTAAAAATGACCC